TGGCTCAGGAGGTTAAGCGTCTGCCTTGGGCTCAGGTCATGATCCCTGGGTCCTGGCATCGAGTCCCGCATCGGGCTCCCTGCTCGGCGGGAAGCCTGCTTCTCCCTCTCCCCCTCCCCCTGCTTGTGTTCCCTCTCTCGCTGTGTCTCTGTCAAATAAATAAATAAAATCTTAAAAAAAAAAGAAAGTGGACCTCTTTACAGAATGGAAAGAGTTCATCTGAAATAAGAACATAAAACTACATTTCATATTTATTACATATATTCTATAATTCATGAAAACTAAATATTACTAATTCAATGTATTAGGGCAAAACTTCCCTGGGCATACCTAGCAGCCTGAAGAATAAGGAAGCTGTTAACAGCATTCGTTTGGTTTTGTTTACTTTTTTTTTTGGAAGGATGGGGAGTCAGAGAAAATATCTTTTAGAGCTTAGTATCACATACAAATTAGTCACTGAATTGATGTATTTTTCATTTTCCCCTATCTCAACAAAGTATTGTAACATACCACTTTCTAGTTCAAAGGAAGAATGATATGTCATTTTTCTAAATGAGTGAATCTTCCCTTGTTAAACACCTAATGTTCTCGCTTTCATCCATATTCTCTCCCTTTTTCTCCCTCTCCACCTCATTTCTGAAGAATATGGCCCTTAAAAAATGGCATGACTTCAGATCTTCTTGAGCACTGAATTCTTAATAATTCAGAACTGTCATCATGAATATTAATTAATTTACCTAAGCCAAAATAAAGTCACGCCTTCAAGGGCAAGAATAAGAATAATAGAAATAATAGTAATGACAACATCCCTTTACTGGAGGCATCCACAAAAGTGCCCCAACAAAATAGCTATATAGAGCTACTGATTCCTACCCTATTTGAGTGGCCTGAAGCAGAATGTCAGGTCACACCTCTTTTTCAGTATATTTGCTTCTGGAACTTTGCTGTGCCATACCAACTAGATTAGAACTATGTATCTCCAATTTTTAAAATTGTACCTAAAATTACTCTACTTATCATTCTAAGAGAAAGTCTGATGAAATGTCATAGGAGTTTTAGGACATGAATCGAACAGAAAATACCTTATTTCCTTAAATTCTAAAGTAAGATTTTAAGATACACCAGGAATTTAGTAACAAACTTTTCACAGAAGGGAAAAATCACTACACTGATTCTCCTTTCCTTTATTCAAATTATAAATTAGGAAAACATTAACTGATTTACACCACCTCTTTACAGAAGCTTTGACAAAAAAGACAAAACTTGAGTTTCGCAATCTATTCCCAAAATGCCTGTTAGAAGAAAAAAAAAGGTAGATGTTGACAGTTCCTGTGAAATAAATCTTTATTCTAGACTCCAAAGACAGGTTTTACAAAAATAGCATCATTTCCGAAGTGCACTGAATTATTTATAAATGATCTGTTTATGAAACCACAGTATGCCAGAATTACTCAGAATTCTCAGCTAATCCAACATTCTTACTTTATATTTGATTAAATTTACATCTGGAGATTATCAATGGTTACTCAAAATCCAGTAATTAACTGGAAGCCACACTCCTGGGCTCAGACCCAGTTGCCCTTTCTCTACCCTGCTTTTCCTCATTGGGGCTGCATCCAATTACACTAAGATAAAAAGTCATAACAGTAACAACAACAGTGGCCACACACTGAGTTCCCACGTAGTTCCAGCAGTAAGTACATTTATCTCTAATCCTGACAACAAGCCAGAAAGAGAGGTATTACTACTCCTATCTTGATTTTTAAAAGATTTTTAAAATTTTTATTGATTTTAATCTAAAGATTAATTTTTTAAACATAAAAAATTTAAAAAAATTTTTAAATATTTTATTTATTTGACAGAGACATAGCGAGAGCAGGAACACAAGCAGGGGGAGTGGGAGAGGGAGAAGCAGGCTTCCCGCCTAGCAGGGAGCCCGATATGAGGCTCGATCCCAGGACCCTGGGATCATGACTTGAGCCGAAGGCAGACGCTTAACGACTGAGCCACCCAGGCGCCCCTAAAGAATTTTTTAATCTTTCAAGATTAAAATAAAAAAAGGCTGAACAGAATTAAGCATTTTGCCCCAGTCACACCTGCTGGGATTTAGACACTGACCCCCTGCTGTGTCTGGACCATGCACTCATACTTCTGAGCCTTTGTACTTGTAAATTCCTGGTCAAGAATACTCTTACTCCAAATATCTAAGGACCACTTCACTTCTTTCAAGTTTCTGCTCAAATGTCACCTTATCAGAGTCTTCATCAAATTAAAATATATCCTCACATCTCTCTCTCCCACTGCTTTATTTTCTCCACAGCATTGTCTGCCACTTGAAAAATTATGTTTATCTGTTCACTATCTACCTTTCTCTAACAGAAAGTATGCTGTATAAGAATCTTGAAGGACTCTCATTTTCTATTACAGATCTGTATTGCACTGCAGACATGTATTTTTTTTAAGTGAGGCAAAATATAAAACTTGCCATTTTAACCGTTTTTAAGCATATAACTCAGTGGCAGTAATTACAATCACAATGTGTGCAACCATCACCACTACCTATTGTCAAAACATTTTCTTCATCCCAAGTGGAAATTCTTTAACCATTAAGCAAAAACTCCCCGTTCCCCCCACCAACCCCAGCTCTTGGTAACCTCTCATCTACTTTCTGTCTCTGTGAATTTGCCTATTCCGCATATTCGTATAGGTGGAATCATACAATAGCTGTCCTTTTGTATTTGGCTTCTTTCATTTAGCATAACCTTTCCAAGGTTCATCCATGATATAGCATGTATCAGAACTTCATTCCTTCTTATGACTGAATAATATTCCATTATATGAATATATCGCATTCTTTATCCATTCATCTGCTAATGGACACTTGGGTCACCTTTTGGCTATTATTAATAAGGTAGTCCCCCCCATTCATGAGTTTGCTTTCCATGGTTTCAGATGCCTACTGTCAACCGTGGTCTAGAAGCAGATGACCCTCCTTCTGATGTACTGTCAGAAGGTCAGTACTAGCCTAACGCTACACCACACGCCTATGCCATTCACCTCACTGCGTCTCATCGTGTATACATTTTATCATCTCACATCATCACAAGAAGAGTGAGCACTGTACAATAAGGTACTTTGAGAGAGAAACCACATTCACATTAATTTTATTACAGTATATTGCTATAAATATTCTATTTTATTAGTGATTGTTCTTAATCTCCTACTGTGCCTAACTTATAAATTAAACTTATTATAGGTATGTATATATAGGAAACACAGTGCATATAGGGTTCAGTACTACCCATGGTTTCAGGCTTCCAGTGGGGGTCCTGGAACCTGTCCCTACAGATAAAGGGGGGAACTACTGTAATGATGCACTGAACACTGCTATACAAATATCTGTTTGAGTTCTTTTCAATTATTTTGTCTGTATACCTAGTTGTGGGGTTGTTGGGTCATACTATGATTCTATGAAGAAATGCCCAACTCTTTTCCACAGTGGCTGTATCATTTTACACTGAGTGGATGTAGGACCTTTGTCAAAAATCAACTGCCCATAGATAAATGGGTTTATTTTTTGACCCTTAATTCTGTTCTGTTGGTATACATATCTATCCTTATAACAGTTCCACACTGTTGATTATAGTATCTTTGTGGTAAATTTTGAAATCATAAAGTGTGAGTCCTCTGACTCTGTTACTCTTTTCCTAGATTGTTCAGGGCCCCTTGAAACGGTCTATGAATTTGAGAGTCAACCTTTCCATTTCTAAAGATTGTTAGAATTTTGACAGGGATTGCACTAAACCTACACATCACTTTTGTCGGTATTGATAGCTTAACAATATTGTCTTCCTACCCAAGAACATGGATGTCTTTCCACTTATTTAGGTCTTACTTAATTTCTTTTAGCAATGTTTTTTAACTTTCAGTGTAGAAATCTTTCACCTCATTGGTTATATCTATTAATAGGTATATTAGTCCTTCAGATGCTAACACATATAGAATTGTTTTCATAGTTTCCTTTCCAGATCACTTATTGTGGGTGTATAGTAACAAGATTTTTATGTATCCATTTTGTACCCTGCAATGTTGCTGAATTCATTTATCAATCCCAGCAGCTTTCTTTTGGATTCTTTGGGATTTTCAAATACAGAATCATGTCATCTGAGAAGACAGACAGTCTTACTTCTACCTTTACAATTAGGTATCTTATTTCATTTTCTTATTTAACTAGCTCTGGCTAGAACTTTCAGTGGAATGATGAAGAGCAATGGTAAAGGGAACATCCTTGTCTTGTTCCTAATCTTAGTGAGGAACTTTTGAGTCTTTCACCACTGAGTTTGACGTTACCTGTGAGTTTCTCATAATTGCCCTATAGTATGCTGAGGAAGTCCCCTTCCCTTCCTAGTTTCCCGAGTGTTTTGATTACAAAAGAGTATAGGATTTTATCAAATGCCTTTTGTGTATCAGTTAAGATGACCATCTGTTTTTTCCCTTTTTCTATTAATGTGGTATGTTACAAGGACTGATTTTTTTAAGCTGAACCAAACTGTACTCCTGGGATACATCCCACTTGGTCATAGTGTCCACTCCTTTTAATATGCTGTTGGTTCAGTTTGGCAGCATTTTGTTGGATTTAACAGGCATGTATTTTGAAACAATGATCAGAAAATTATACAAAAACACAGTTATAGCTTATATTATTTTTTAGTTGTTAAGAATTATTTTTTAATTGAGGGGGAAATGTACATATCTTTAAGACATTCTGTTAAATACTAAATATTAAAATGAAGTGAAAGGAAAATTATCCCTTTTTATGTCAGTGGTAAGTTTTACAAGCTCTTTGGAATGTTGCAATTTTAAAGCTGTTGCTTAAGTATCCTTTTTACATACCTGCAAATATATAATGTAAAAAAAAAAAAAAAGATCTACAGGATGAATGTAACATCAATAATTTAAAATCTACTCCTAAAACAAAAAGTAACAAGAAAATAATTTACCCCTTCATAGAAAACTTTTGCACAGTCCTTTGCTAATTTTCCAAAAAATAATACATTGATGGTGTTGATCTCCGAATTTGAATTTTCTTGTTCTATAGAGAAAAACACACATACAGAAAAACACTAATTAGATACAAGTTTTACACACACAAGAAAATTGATGACAACTACATTCTAAAAACTAGTTATTTCAAAATATAATTATGAAGGAAAATTAAAATTTTTATAATTCACTTTTAGTTTAATACCTTAAGTATTGCAAAGATCATGCACAGAATACTATTAGGTACTAAAACCAAAATTGTAACAAGCTTCAACTAGAATACATTTTATAAATTTCTATAAATATCACATTAACAGCATAAAATAACTGCATTCTATTTATTTTCCATGTTTATAATAAAAAGAAACTGAATATGGTATTCAATTTTTATACTATATAACGTATCACCCCCAAAGTAGTTCACTTTTTCTGAGCTTCTAGTAATCTACAGTGTCAGCACATTAAGGTTTTTATTTTGTTTTGTCTTAATTTATTTATTTGACAGAGAGAGAGCGCAAGCAGGGGGAGTGGCAGGCAGAGAGAGGGAGAAGCAGGCTCTCCGCTGAGCAAGGAACCCGACCTGGGGCTTGATCCCAGGACCCCAGGGATCATGACTAGAACTGAAGGCAGACGCTTAACGGACTGAGCCACCCAGGAGCCCCTCAGCACATTAAGTTTTAATATAGGTAAGTGTATTTTCTCCTCCAGCATGCACAAATGAAAGAGTAAAAGAGCAGAGTGTGTGTAAAGACCAAACTATTTATGATTTTAAAAAAGAAATTTAATTGGGGAAAAGAAAAAAAGAATTTCCACAAAGTTCACTCTCCAGAGATCACCTTCTATAACCAATGCAGCAGGGCCAAATGCTAAGACCGAATTATATCATCTGAGGAAAGTCTCATTCATATTAGCTTTCAAATATTCAACTACTCCAAGAAACTGCCATCATATCAGATTTTTATGCATCTATAGAGTATATGAAAGATCTTTCCCAAAATGATAGTCTTTTTTGTGTAACCTAGAACTCTTGAATCTGCTACTCTGTCAGGTCTGGTGGCGTTCATAGTGAAACAACTACCACAAAGCTGACACTGATCTCTTCAACTCCTCAAAACAAGTGTATACATAAACTGAAACACTAATGTTTCTCAAATACAAAGCACAGCGTTCTCTAACCAAAACATAACATACTGTTAATATCTTAAATGACCTATCAGATGTCTGTGTCTGGCCATGATGGACTAATAGACACTGAGTTTATTCTCCAGTCTTAAAATGACTAGAAAACTAAGAAAAAATATATGAAACAACAGTTTTCAGGTATCAGACAACAGGGAGTGCAGGAAAGTGATCTGAGAAGGAAAATAAGACAATACCCCTATCTTACTTCCTGGGGAGTTTCCAGGCAGCAGGAAATGGAGCTAAAATCCAAACAAAGCTCAGCAGTCTTCACTGAATTCAGAAGAGTTCAGATATGAGGATACCAAGGTGGCTAGAATTTGCAGGGCAGAATGCTGAAGGTAGGACAGCAGCACAGACAAAGAGTGCTCTGGCGATCTGAAGATGGGTGCCTTCGGGTCTTCGGATGAATATCTCCAAGTACATGGAAGGCAAGTACCTCATGAAGAGGAAGAACCACTTGAAAGGAATAGGCAGAACAATTCTGAGACTCACACAGGGTTAGGAACTGTTCTTGTTCCAACCAGACAGAATGGAATCCACACACACAAGGCATAGAGTAGAATTGTCAGAAGGGTATTTCCTTAGTGATATGGCCAAATTGGCCTGAAAATAAAGGCTGTTCTATACCCACCCCAACAAAGCTAATCAAACTGATTCCAAGAAAATTAAATGTATCCCAAAATAAAGACACGTAATAGTTAAAGGATGGATAACAAAGAAATCCAACATTTGCTAATATAAAATTCTAAATGTTTGGTATCCAGTAAAAAATTACCAGCCATGAACATGATGAGGAGAAATGGAAGATATTAAAAAAAAAAAAATCTCAAAATGAACTTTCAGAATTGAAAAATATAGTATTAGAAGTTAACAGTACGCTGAATGGAACTAACAGATTAACTGAAAATGTTACAGAAAACCGAAAAACAGAGAAGAATCAATGAAAAGAAAAGCTGATTTTAAAGATCAATAAAATAAATATCTAGCCAGAATGATCAGGAAAAAAATGAAAGAGTAGTCACAAATTATCAATGAATGAAAACAGGACATCACTATAAACCCTACCAACATTAAAAGTATATCAAAAATATATTATGAATAACTTTATGCCAATATACTTGACAACTAAGATGAAACAGATAAATTCCTTTAGAAACACAAACTACTGAAGCTTACTCAAGGGAAAAAAAGATAAAAAAGAAAAGCCCTATTAACAAATAAATTACACTGAATTTAGGGTTTGGAACTTCCCCATAAAGAAATTTTCAGGCACAGTTGGCTTCACTGATGAATTCTACAAACATTTAAGAAGAAATAAAAGCAATTATAGATAAACTCTTCCAGAATATAGAAGAGAAGGAAGCACTTAACAGCTCTTTTCAGGAGGACAGCATTACGCTGATACCAAAATCACTCAAAATCATTACAAGAAAAGAAAGACATGGAACAATATCCTTCATAAACTTAGATGTAAAAATCCTTAATCAAATATTTGTAAATTAAACCTAACAACATATCAAAAGGATGACTCCTCAGGCCCACTACCTTATCATGCTATTTTTTTCTTCAGACCACATTTCTACCTAATATTACTTATGGAATTATTTACTGAATTTATTTACCTCCCTAAAATGTAAACTTCATGAAGGCAAGGGCTTTATTTTGGTCACTGCTATATCTCCCATACCTAGAACAGTGTCTAAATATAACTGGTTTTCAGTAGTTACAGAATGTTGTAGTTCAAAGTCTGTTTCCCATTCACTGCTGCAGGCCATTCTTCAATCCAATTTCAGGCTTCAGATGAGATCTATTTTGGTCCTCAAATACTCCATGGTAGCTCTTCCTAGCCTACCAGGATTATTTCAGGGTTACTAGGAAGAAGGCATAATCTCATATAACTATACCTAGGCAAAAAATAACATGCTGAAAGGAGTGTTTTATAAGTTAAGTTTGCTAAGCTGTTTAGGTCACACTAGTGAAACCAGAAGTAGGGGGACCAGTTAGCTATTGTAACAGTTTAGATATGAGATTAAAGGGATCTGAAGTAAAATAGAAGAAATGGGTGAGGGGAGAGAGGATAGATGCTATGGAAAAATTCAGTGAAAAAAAATTTCATTCTATAGTTTTTTACACTATTGTGTATGTATTACCCATTAGAAATCATTTTTGTGCTTATGTGTGTACATATATATATTAAGTTATCCATTTGTAGATTATAAGAAAAGGTTAAGCAGAAACGGTCTTATTAAATTGTATACCTTGTAGGGCAATCTTCAAAACAGCTGTTCTGTTTCCACCATAAGTTAAAGAAGAAATAAGTGAGAGTTTTCCCTAAAATGAGAGAAAAATGGTTATACAGAAAACCCAAAAGAGCTTATTATAACACCAAGAGATAAGTTAAAATTAGAAAAACTATTTTAAAAGCAATAAACTTTTATTTTTCAAAAAAATTCAAAGTACTATGTTCAAGTCACCATATTTAAGAAATGAAAGTGATTTTACTAAAGAAATTTCAGAAGGCCTAATTATTTAGGGTCATAACTTAATTTTTTAAACAATCTTATTATTAAATATTATCCAATTCCTCATTTTACAGATAAAGATGAGCTGGCTCAACTTCAGTTTCATGTTAACCCCTATAAGATTGTTTCTACTGAAGAAAAATGAAGAGTTTGCTCCTAAAAAGAAATAAACAATAAATTAAAAAATGCAAACTGGTAATCTCATAAATAAGGGCAGTGTGGACAAAGCAATGAACTAAAGCACACATAAAGTTTAGTGCTCATTCTTCTGTAACTAACCAGCTCTGTCACCATAAAAAAGCTATTTAATCAGCATCTCTCAGATAAAATGAACTATTTAATCTAGGTAGTTTCTATACTTTCTTCTGGCTCTAAAATTTAATGATCCTATGAATAAATACATTATAGGTCTCTTTGAAAACTTCCACATAGAAATAAAATGTATTTAATAAAATTTAAAAATGGATCTCTAATACATATCTCCCACACTAATATTCCAGACTTTGATATAGCCGACAACAACAAAACCTATGTTCATACACCAATTTTACTTATAAGACAGGAATCAAAAAAAAATTAAAATAAGGCTATCAGCTGTGCATGATTCGGTCAAAAGTAAAATAGTTCCACTTAGGAGATAGAAAGCTGTAAAGAACAACAAAAAGTTGGACAATGTACAAATTTCAACCTTTTTTTTTGACCCACCAGAGAACTGAAGTCAGAAGACAACTGATTAACCAGAAATCTAAGAAAAGAGAAGTACCTCCAATAAGAGAGAGGCAACAGTGAGTTGAGGTCACAAGGCAACCAACTAATCAGAAATCTTAAGAAAGAGAAGATGCTCAAGGAGAGATGGGTGGTAAGCACTTGTTTACCTGAAGTAAATGGCAAATGCTACCTGACATTTGTCAGAAAATTCATCTAACATTTTTAATGAGTTGCTGAAGGCCAAGTGCGGGCTAGTGAGAAGACATGGAGCTTGTGGGAGCTGCAAACACAAGGGGAATTCACACCCACTTACAAGCTCGTCTCCAAAAACGTCATGACAAAAGTCAGGCCAGGAGTCAGGACAAGGGTGGTAGCAGTTATTGTAGGAAGGCCTGCCTGAGTCTTCCCCATCTTCCTTTCAAAACAAAGTCCTTAAACTGCTAGGAGAAAGACAACCAACTTAAGAATCTCATTAGACCTTTGATGAAAATGCACTGCAGAAAAACACTCTCTACCCTTCTAGGGATAAGGAGAAAGAGGTATACAGGTGTGAGGGCCAGACCTACAGCTAGGGACAGGGCAGAATCACTAGAAGACCTCACCCACAAGACCCAGGCTAATCTTTTTAATCTTTGTCTTTCATAACTATTCCAGAAGCCTTTCCCTTACCCCAAAGGAAAAGGCACTCTGGAGCTGCTCTCACAAACTACAGGGAACTCTGAAAGTTAGAACTAACTGCATCCCTCACCTGATGGCCCCAACCATGAGCCAGTAGGGCATGGCCCAGCTCCTGTACCTTCCACGTAAGATACTTTCAAACTTTTCTACAACTCTTATACGGCAAATGAGCTGGACAAGTAGGCCAGATTTAACTGACTTCTCTCAAGTGGTCTCTCTGCAAACAAGGACTAAACTGAAGTACCAGGACTGAACTAGGGGCTGTGAGGCTTCCCAGGTGGCAGAGCACACAGGGGAGCCTGTCAACCTGTGCCGCCTGAGTGACCTCCGTCCTTTCTGGAGGGTCCCCAACAACTGTAAACTCTTTGTTTTCAAGGGTAGCATGTATGCCCTCAGTATTTGTGATTCCTGTGTGAAAGGCAGAAATCAACCAAAAAAAAAAAAAAAAAGTGTGATTTGCTCCTAGGGATGGTTGTAAGAAATATTCGAGTTTTTAAGGAAACATTTTTAGTTGATTATGTGGCCCTCAGCTATAAATTAAGTAGGCAGTTTTACTCACAATAAGAGTTATCACATTAGAAAGATAGTATATAATTTGTTCCTGTCTTTAGCTGAAGTGAGCAAAGAAAAAATGGAAGTTGAACTAAACAATAAGCTTTGGAAGTTTAAGGATGACTGAAGAGTGAGAGACTTCCAGGGGGATTTATGTCCCCAGAGTTCTGTGTTTACATTTCAATAAGAGATGAACCCTAGAGACAGTTCTTTACATTCTAAATGATATATTTACATTCAGGAGATGAGGTTCTTCTCTGTCAGGAGGGGACGGTAAAGCTGGATAGCTGTCCTATATAAACTCCCAGATTCATAATTTCAAGGTTCCTTTTCTACAGTGCAAGAAATCCCCTTTACACACACAGAAAGACTTGTGATCCTCACCATATTGCCTTGCATGAGGAAGATGGGGGATAGAAAACTGATGCAGTCATTGCTGAGAGTAAAAATTATAGTTGGCCTATACTCCAGAAATCTCATGTTAGCTTTCAGGATAAAAGTGAATTAATATTAAATATTAAAAATGTATCACCCCCAATAAAAGAGTGGAGTTTTCCTAAGGTCAGTGCCTCTCAGATGGGATACAAATGCTTTTGTGCACAGTATGAACCTAATCTATTTGGCTCCTCCTGATCAACCAAATCTACTGAACTGTATGTAGCACACCAACCTAGAATGTGGATTATACACTGTTGCTTGAGAACTACTTGACCACTTGACATTTACCCAAATAAAATAAATAGCTATGTTTACATAAAAATTTGTACATGAATGTTTATAGCTGCTTTACTCATTATAAAAAACTGGAAAGAATCCAAATACTGCTACACTGAGTAATGAAGAAATGGACTGTGATGGAATTCTAGTCACCAATAAAAAAGGAACAGTACTAACCAACATAACAACCTGGAAGAATCTCAAATGCATCATGCTAAGTGAAAGAAGCCAAACTCAAAAGGCTACATAGTTCAGGACTCCATTTACATGGCATTCTTAAAAGGCAAAAAGCATACTGTCAGAAAATTGGTAAAAATTGGTTGCCAGGGGTTAGAATTGGAGTAGCAGCTGACTATGAAATTTTGGGGAGTGACAGATTGTTATACAGCTTAATTATGTTTGTGATTATATGTTCTTATATATCTGTCAAAACTTGCAGAACTGTACACTAAAAACAATGAATTTAAGCAGTAAAATGCATTTAACAAAATTCAAGAAACATACATAAGAGGTATCTGCAGATTAAAAAAGGATAAGTATTCAAACTGAGAGTTGAAAAATAAGAGACTCATTCAGATATATGAAAGAACAGAAACCATATACTTTGACCTAACTTTTTAAAATAAATGAGCATTGCTCATGAAAATGTGATAATCATGAGAAATAAGTAAAAGGTATTTCCTAGTTTTAACCCCACTGAACACTAACATGTTCACTTACAGCTAAAAGGAATTATTGTAATAAAAGAGCTAAAAGTGAAAAATATTTCACTAATACAAGTAGGAACAAAAATTAAAAAATACAGGTAGTTAGTTGACTGCATAATCAGAAGAAAAGAACTTAGCAAACAACTGTATCATTTAAATGTCTCTATATCAAGCACACAAAATAAAAACGCTACAACTAGATACAACTCAGTAGTAACTTGTATTGATAATTTGTTAGAAAATTGAATCACAGCACTTTATTAATAAAATACATAAGAAACGTCACATTAATCAGCCAAGTGCAAAAAAGTCTGACAATACTAAGTATTCGATAAGACGTTAAATGCAATGAAGTAGAAAACCAACTGTAATCCATAAAACTATTTCATATGAAAGAAAATACCAGGGAAATGGAAAATAAACATAAGAATAAAATATGTAACAAACGTCTATACAGAGAATATTGATTAGAAAAGCAAAACTGAAATGTAGCATTATTCTCTTTCTTTCACTATCAGACCCATTTTACTAATAAAGCCCCTACCTCATTCCTGTTACATTCTCCCCTTAGTCCCTAACTCAGGCACAAGAACTAAAATGAAAAATTCACTAATGATGCATAATAGAATATTGGATATGGCAGAAAAAAACATTCAATGAACTTGAAGACAGATCAAAAGAAATTAATTTGAAAATTTCACTCAGGCAAAAACCAAAACAATACTGAAGAAAATGGAACAACACCTCAGAACCTATGGGACAATACAAACAGCTTAACATACATGTAACTGATATCCTGAAAGGAGAAAAAAGTAATCAGGTGGTAGAAAATAAAAATTCCAAGAAACATAGCCAATAATTTTCTTAATTTGATAAAAAAAAACATTGACTTATGGATCCAAGAAGCTCAGTTATACATAAGCAGGAGAAATTCCAAGAAAAGCCACACCCAGGCACATGAGAGTCCAACTGCTAAAAACAAAAGATAAATAAGAAAAGAGCCAAAAGTAAAACAGGGCACATTATGTAAGAAACAATGGAAGCGAGAAAGCAACAGAATATGTTAAAAGTACTGAAAAGGAAAAAAAAGAGTCAACCTCCAATTCTATATCCAGTAAAAATTACCTTCAAAAACAAATGGGTGATGGGTATTAAGAAGGGCACTTGTAATGAGCACTTGGTATTGTATGTAAATGATGAATCACTAAATTCTACTCCTGAAACTAATATTACACTGTATGTTAAGTAGAATTTAAATAAAAACCTGAAAGAAAAAAAAACCAAAGATGAAATAAAGGCATTCTCACATGAATGACTACTAAACAAATTCATCTCCAGCTGTACTACAAGAAATGCTAATGGATGTTTTTCAGGATGAAGGGAAACTTGGGTCTACTGGTAAAAATAAAGCACATCAGAAATAGTAAATATGTCAGCTGGTATAAAA